CTGTCGCATGCATTCAAACATAAATGGTTGCGCTCAAACCGTCAGTTCCGTTTTCCAACTGAACAACAAAACTAGAATTATGCTTTTCTTGCACTTTGCAAAAACAGAAAATGTGAGAATGGAACGATAACTGTTAACTTGCTATTTAAAAAGACGAGAAATCCGTTTAATTAAATACAACGCCCTGCTCTCTTATCACATTGCGCTTCGATCATATCTCGCAGACATATTTCCATCGATTCGTGTCGACAATGAACGTAGATTTCAATGCAGCAGAACAATTACAATCTAAACAAAGGTACACGTCTCTTACCGTAAAATATTTCCTTTCCCTTCTCCAACAAACGTTCTCGATCTTTTCCTTTACACAAAAAAAAACTATATATAATTTCTATTTATGCAAACACTCTTTGCCTTCTTTCAAGTCTCCATTCCTTCAATTAACGAATAATAATAATAATTATTATTATCGATAAATACTATCCAAGCTATACCTACGGACTATCGCAGATAGAAACGCATTAGAAATGGTATAAAATGGACATGTTTTCTAGTTTCCTCAACAATGCTAGATATATGTATATTCCTATATATATATATATATATATATATATAATAAATCGTATTGTTTTTTTTTTAGCATTTTTTCTTCTAAGCATTATAATTACGTACGACTTACAGTAAACACGGCGTTCAATAAGTACACCGTCAAGTTTTTCGGGCAGGGAAGGATTAAGAATAGAAAGTGCTATTTAATAATATTAAATCGGGGTAATCGAAATAAACATGATGCGTGTTTGCTCCTTTTATTTTAGGCTCGATCGATCCTTCCTCTTGGCTCTTCAGTCTTTCTAACGGCTTGACGACAGACACCAAACCGTTTTTTTTATACTCCGTTTTCTTGCAAATTTAGCGCGGCAATCCTGACTTCCTCGTACCTGGACATTCTTTTCACTCAATGGTCACGCTGGACGTTATCGATCCTCGCCTGGTCAGCCAGACTCTATGAAACACGCACAAAGCTCATTTTCAAATAGCTTTCGTTACGTGTTATTCTTTCAAACGGAAACCACTTACCCCAGGCCAGCCCCGACCAATACAGATAAAAGATTCGTGATAAAAAGTGTGTAGAGGACTTCCTTCGAGAACAAACCAATCTTGCCTACTTTCGTCGTACGAATGCTGTACGACTTTCTTTTATTCATGCCTTGAGGATGCTTGAATTTCCAATCTCTATAATTATCAACAAGGATTTCGTTTATTTACGATTCCATTGTTAATCTATAATGAATTCATGTATAAAACGAGTTCGTACTTTGGTGGTGCTTGATCCGGGCGCGAGCTCCATTCGTAGATCCAGTCGGTGTTCTTCTCTAAAATTTCGGCCTCCTGCAGAGAAACAAAAGGAGAAATTTAAGATTTACTTTTGCAGAATGTCTCGCGCTTATTCTACAATCTGCAGCAATCCGATCTAAAAGCGTTCAAGCTGCAAATGGTATTGTATAGCCAAACAGAAGATACGCTATGTCAATTGAAATCGCAGATCGGTGTGCCAGTTTTCACGCGAGACTTATACAAAGACTGCTTCTGTTACAGAGCAAAAATCATTAAACATCAGATTCTTATCACTCGATAGCTGTGGTGAATCGATCAAACTTTCTTACATAATTGGATCAGATTATCACGTTTTGAAATTGGAACTAATTACAATAAGCCACGTTTCCGTATTGTTTTTTTGAGAGCTTCTAATAATAAACCTGACTGAACTTTTATGGGTATTGTTAATTGTGAAACATGAAATGATGTCCCACTTATACGTTCAAGGTGGGCCGTGTGTTATGAAAGATAAAGAAGTAAGCAATCGTAGCGCAAGTACTCTTATCTATGAATGGTTCGAGACATGAGAGAATAGCCAAGGATAACTGGACGGGCAATCAGCCAATCGCGACTCAACCATCACGGACCATATTACGCTTCACGTTATAAACAATGTGCATTAAATGAGGCGTACGTCTGTTAGTAAACAGCTGCAAACTCCTGCACAAACGCTTATCGATAAACCAAAAAAATGCATTGTCGCATGTGAAGCCGAATGAATCATGCGATGATACACAAGTTAATTGTTATACAAAAAGTGCCACCCAATGACTCGTCTTCAAAGCCACGGAGTAATTAAGATATTTTTAACGCTGCTGCAACTTATCTTTAATCCGGGAAATATTAACACGCAGAATAAAGAAATAAACGTATTTAGCAATATGTTAACCATGATTCAATGTAGCAAATCCAAATCCCTTGCCAAGTTCGTCAACGCGTTCCGTTTCTCGAAATAGTATTTCAAGTAAAGCGTAATAAATCTCGGCCACGAGTAGGCGCAATATTTCTCCACTTCATGTTTAAAAACGTTGGGGGTTAAAGAAGCTTAGAAAATCCACTTCTAATTTTATTCACACGCAGTTCCACGACCCCGTTCGTCTAATTTACGACGGCTTTTATTCCAACTAGGAAAAGCCTCCAAGCTTAAAGACATTAAAGCTTCGCGTTGATCTTTTTATCGCTGTTTCACGATGCTAGAAAAGCAACGTGGTTATTTAAAATCCGACTAGGTTTAATGATCGCAACATGACGAAGTTCTGTTCTACAAATAAAGAACGGGAATTCTAAACACAGAAAAGGCTGCATGAGCATAACTCTCTCAGAGTTCAACGCTCTTTAAATAAATATTGCGACGTGCAAGCGAACCAAGGACTACGAGCGATCCACTCGTATAACCGTAAAAGGATCCTCACCGACTCATTTCGTCGAATCCCACGGCTCGGATCTAATGACCAATTCTTTCAAATGTTTTAAAGGAGAGAAGAAAAATACTTTTATATTAGCGAATATTAATTCCCGTTCAGAAATAATAATCGGTTGCCTACGCGTCTCGAGGGAGGAACGCGACCCACAACTGTTTGGTATTCAGGCCGTCCGCGAAGAGGAGGCAATGAGACATCATCCTCGAGTTTCGTCGCATTCTCGCATACGTAAACAGTCGGTAAAAATTAAGAACGTGAATCAAACGGAAGCCCCGATCAATTAACATAAAAATTGATCCGATTCTTTAAATAACTATAATGATCATTGTAAAAGAATTAACGTTCAACGCTGTCAGATGAGAAAGATGGGACAAGGTAGCGTAACATTTTGTTTCGTAATTCGAAATCATTGCCATAATTGGCATAATGGCGTTCCGAAAAAGGCTGGAGACGCAGAAAGGTCGATATCAAGATACGATCGAAGAAAAGCAGGTCACGCACGTTTCGCCTTCGGCAAGTGGTAATGCTGGTAACTATAACAGAGACTTGACGAATTCATTTGATACGGCGCGTGGTGTGATCGCGGGACGGTTTCGGATTGGTTACAGGCTACCACGACGTTGCTGAAAAGCCGCCTGCCACTTCCTCTCACTCTTTCCCGGTCGTTCCTTTGACACACGTCGCTCTTCGCGGAGTTTAATAACCGAGAATCGCGTCAGCTGTTCCGAACTCACTTCAGCAACGAACACCCCGACAACGATGCTTTTACCATGCACAGCTCCATAATGCAGGGCTTGAGAGGGTCAATCACGTAGCCAGTCTCGTGCACTTCACGAGAACTTAAAGATGAAACAGCAATTTCAACTATTCAGCTGCATATAGTTGAACAAATATTTCCTATTTATTCGTTTTCCAAGAAACTCGTTGAATTCATTTTATCTCTGGCTCGTTTGTTGTTTTAGATCTCAGTGACAATTAATCTGTATAGAAAGAGGATTTCGGGATTTGGAAAATTTTGTTGATAGAAGAAAGTTTATCTAACTTCCTTTGTCGTTGACTGAAAGCGATCTCAGAAGCGACTCGCATCGTTAATCGACAGTAAACGTGACAAGGATCATGTTTTGCAAAATTGTGTAAGATGGTCTACGTGACCATTCACACGATCCTCTCCCCTCTTCGGTGATCTTTTTAATTGGTCAATCAATCTGTATAGACACTTGGTCTATTACCAATAATTATCATTTTTATTAAAACTGCGAAGACCTCATTATTATATCTAATTTTTGATAGTAAACTTCCATTAGTTTATCCTCTCATTTCGTAATTCATTATCAAGTAATTACTGCTTAACTGCTTCATTAAACTGTATCTCCTTTGTCAGCTTATCTCTCTCGACATTCATTTTCAAAATATGGAAAATCCAGTATAAAAAATAATTGTACGATCGTAGCGTTAGGCAACAGAGTTTAAAAATAACTCCTCTGGATGTGATTGCTCCGGAGCAATCTCTGTGAGTTCGAACCCCGGAACCTAATTTGCGCTCCATTAAAAGTGAGACGCCCTACGGAACGATCGACTGCCGCTATAGTTAGTATTCCGAGGCAGTGTTTCGCAAAATAGGACGTAGTCCAAAGAGATGGGTCATATTAAGCAAGACACGTACGTGCCAGAGGATAAATGTGCAAGTAGAAATATAAATAAACTACTAGCTTGTATCGTCGAACGTGGTTCAGCAGCCGGGTTGGTATGCTGAAAGTGAAGTGGACTGTTTTCTATAAAACATTTGATATTTGAAATAGTTACTATCACTTAAAACCCTCCCACATTTATTTTCATACTATCAACTAGTTTATACATTCACGCTATCTGGAATAATATTAAAACACGTTACGGACGCTATAAATTATGATTGTCAAAACTATTTCATGTTTTTATACAAAGTGCTGTCGAGGAAATGCGATTTCCTCTTTGGATGACTGGTAAATAAAACGCAACAAGGCGCATTAAGAATGTATTGGCTAGTCAATCCCAAAAGTTTATGCACTTTAGAAACGCATTTTTTAAAAAGAAATCAGACGTCGGAAGAACATTGCTAATAATAAAAAACAAAAAAAAATTTTCGATTTTTCCGAGATTTTTCCAAGGGGTACCCT